CCCCCCCCAATACCTGTCCCCACTTGTTTTGAGGAATCCCAGTTATTCTCAAGTTTCAGTGTTCCCACATCCAGGAGAAGCCACAAACAGTTGTGTTCTCCCACCCGGGCAGAATCCACGCCACGCTCCCTGCTGCGCCCTTTCCCCCAGCCCTGGCCAAGTGGGGGTGGGGTGCCTGTCCATCCCCACCTCTCAGGGGAGCCCCCCAGTGCAGAGGGTCGCTGGGGCTGGGTAGGAGATTCTGGCATCCCCGAGACACCACAGACACCACTGAGGTCAGACCACACGCCCTTTATTCCCTAGCCCTGGCCCATTGGGAGGTGGAGCCCCAGGGGTCCCACTGAGGGGAAACTCAGATGCTGGCCATCAGAGTTAGCAGGTCATGGTCGGCTCTCAAGCGTGTAGATCCAGAACCCTGCAGATGTCCTCTGTTTGCAACTGAGTGGAAGGCAAGGAAGGCCATTTCAGGCCAGTCCTCCTCAATCCAGTCTGCGTGGGGCAGGGGCCCAGAGGGTCTGCTGGGGTTTGGTGGTCAGCCAGCAGGCCTGCAGCGTCTCCACAGGCGATGGGTGAGGAACGCCAGGAAGAGCAGCCCCAGCACCAAGCTGCCCGGCCACAGGGCTGCGGATGTTGTTGGGGGACCTAGAGAAGGAAGTGTTGGGAGCTCTGAACACCTCTTGGCGGGTTTGGGGGAGAAGCTTAGTAGAATCTGCTAGGGGCCTCCACATTTACTGGGTTCCCTGAAACTTTACAAAGGACTCCACGGTTTAGAATGTCTTTTGAAATGTCCAAAAGCTGCTAGACTATCCAAAGGTTTTGGAGTGAATCTTTTGAAAGGCACATAGGACCTTGTAGTTAGAAACGGGCTGTCCAGTGAGGTGACCGCCCCCCATGCCTGTGTTTGAAATATGGCATGTCTGAATGGGAAGTGAGGTCAGCGTAAAATCCACACCACGTCTTGAGGACTTAGTTTGAAAAAAGGAGAAAAGAATGTCAGATGTCTCATTTATAGTTCTGAATGTGGCTACTAGAAAATTTGAAATGACCTAAGTGGCTGTATTCTATCCTATAGGCTGTTGTAGGCTATAAAGTTTAGAGTTTACAAAGTGCTGTGAAATCTACACAGTCCCTTAGATTTACAGTCCTCGCCCTGCCAGGTAAGCGTGATCTTACATTTGGGAAGCCCACTGGACAGTTTGGGCAATTGAAGCCGGGCGGGACCATTCCTTGTCTAAGGTCTTGATGCAAGGCTTCCCTCCCTCTGAGGCTCCCCCAGCCCCCTCCCTAGCCCGCAGAACTCACAGATTTCAGGGACCAGGTAGAGGCTGGCCATCTGTCCCCCTGGGTCCAGGCGACACTGAAACCAGCCTTCAGGGTTGCACCTGGCCCACGGCACGCTCAGCCGAGCCAGGGCCCCAGCCTCCTGCCTCTCGTAGGCTTCAAGACCCCCGGGGGCCTGGGTCCAGCTCGCTGACATACCGGGGCCACAGGCTGCCTCACACAGTAGCTCCAGACCCCCTGGTACTGGTGACTGGTGGATCTCAGGGCGACAGGGCCTGGTGGAGCTGTTCCCAGGCGGGGGCCCAGGATTCCTGGGGCTGTGGGTGGAGCTCAGCTCTGGGGTGGCCTTGGGGGAGGTCGTTACAGGGGGCTCCTGGGAGGTCAGCCTGTGCAGGACTGGAAAACAGGGGGGTTGTTTTTTCTCCTGCCCCAGGCCCCTTCTCCCGCCTGCCTCTCCATTTAGACCACAGGGTTTGACCCTGTGGCCCCATCCTGGGCCACTTGGGCAAATCGAAGGGTATCCCAGTGGGTAGGAGTGGGGCCAGGGCCTGTCTCGGTCCTCTCCCCACTCTGAGTAAGCATCTGAACCTCTGCACCTCAATTTCCTCAGTGGTAAAGGGGGTGAGAGCCACCCATCCTAGGGGTGCCATGGAGAGCAATCAGGGTGTGGGCTTGGTGAGTACTGGCTTTTATAAATTACAGGGCTAGTAGGTGGACAGAGGGGAGGTGCTCCCTGACAAAGTGAAGGGTGCCGGGGCTCTCTGCTCATCCCTTGTGCTGGAGATGGGAGGCTGAGCCCCAGGAGGGGTTTGTACATCTTACCAGAAAGTACCTTTCAGATCCAGTGGCCTCTCTGTGTGCTCTCCCACCACCCCTTCCCTGCACCCCGCCCCTTCCAATCGATCCCCGCCC